GGCCATGCCAGGGCGGAGCGGTTGTGCCCGGGACAGGTCAGGCGTGTCGTGGACGTCCATGCCCAGGTAGTGCCCCACGTGGTGAGGGCAGTAGCGCCTGGCTGCCTGCAGGGGGCAGGAGAGAGAGAGAGCACGCCGCCATGTCAGAGAGGCAGTGGGACACGGGCCGTCTCCCCCAGCGGAGGCGAGGACTACAAACCCGCTGTCCCGAACTGGGCGCTGGCACAGAAACAGCTGCCCGCAACACACCACCTCCGAGCAGCAAAACAGAATCTCGACACATCGGTAGCTGCCACAGTGAACATCCGAAGATCAGGGGAGCAGAAATAAGACACTGCAGTAAGTATTGTCCAGGGGCCTGCGTCTGGCTGCCAGTCCAGTTGCCATAGAGGCCAGACTGGCTGCCCAGACTCCCCTGGTTTGCTAGCCGTCTTGTGCATCGCGCTAAAAAGCTGACACAGTAAATAATCATCTCCAGACACAAGGACGCTGTACGTGGTGTTGAAGACCAGATTAAACAAAAAAGCACGATTAAAAGTTAACGGGGAAAAAAAAACGACACCGGAACACGCAGGGCAAGCCGACGAGGGCCCTGCTAGAAAGGGGAGTTTCGAGTGGAGATCTGAAGAGAGGCAGAGACTGTCTCTCGTGGGGTCCGGGGGGGGGCTGTCCGTCCCGCTGGAGCAGCGACTGACCGGGCTCGGCCACCGCTCGGCCTGGGCGCAGCGAGGAGAGGGCCAGCCTCCGCTGCCCGGAGCCTACAGGAGCAGTTCAGACAAGCGACTCAGAGCCCCAGGGGTCAGGGACAGGACCTTGTTGCGCCTGCCGGGCTTTGACGACCCCAGTGCGGGGGGCGGGGGGAGGCGCTGGCCAGGCCTGGAGTGAGGAAGAAGTGGAGGTGCAGCTGACAGAGGAGGGTGCTGGGGAGCCCACACAGGGGAGAGCTGTGGAAATCGGCCTCATGTTCCAGTATAAATGCACCAATCAGGCACTGGGCATCGGACACGGAGAGAAACTGCCTGATGCCGGCAATATCTCTATAGGGTCAGAAAAAGACTTCTCAATCAAAGTCTTCTCAGGGCTCAAGAGACAGGGGGGGGATCGAGTGGGACACCGAGACTCCCGACGACGGATGGGGGAGCCGTCAATATGCCACGGTCCAGCGGGGGGCGCTGTAGTCACCCGCTGTGCGTTACGGCGACGGTGCACTCTGACGCAGTGTCCAGAAAGGAGCCGACGCTTAACCGCGCAAGCGTGTCGGCGTGACGATCCCCACTGAAGTACCGCGGCCGGCCAGCGGGGGGCGCTGTAGTTACCCGGTGCGTGTCGGCGTCGCCGGCCCTGGAGCTGATGATGCCCAGGTCCTTCAGCCTGGCGCCCAGCAGGCGCAGCATGTGGCTGTAGATGCTGTCCAGACTGACGCCCGGGGAGCACAGGGTCAGGCAGGCCCCCTGGATGTCCAGCACGGCCTGGTACAGCTCCGCCTGGGGTGGGGAGAACCTGCAGAGGGACAGGCAGCCTGAGCAGCGCGCGCAGCTGGCCAGCAGGGGGCGCCGGACACTCCCCGCTCGCTGCCCCGGGCTGGGTTGACTTGCACAGACGGGCGCGGAGATCAACCCTTGGAGATCGGCGCCCGGACATATCGTCTCATGGCCTGCTCATGGTGCACCCCCCCACCGGCACGTTAATTCATTTCTCACGAGACGGCCCTTACCTGCCGTTCACCGGCCAGGTGCGGGTGACGTCGCTGACATAGCCAAAATACTCACACCCCCCGTCCAGCAGGACCATCTC